GTCTGTCAGTGCCTGAAAGCCCACATCCAGCTGTTAGTCATGCATTCTCTTCCTATTCCAAAGGACCACTGAGATGCCTCTTCTGATCCCACAAGAACCACTGTCCATTCAGTTTCAAAATCCCAGCCAGCTCAGCACAGTTTACTCACCTCAGGGGCTCGGGAGGATTGTCCCTGGTGAGAAAGACCTCGAGCTCCCTGGAAGAGCACAGGGAAGAGCACACTCAGACTGCATGCCTGCCCAGTCGCATCTAAGTGCTTCCCAGCCTGTCCCAGAGCGCAGCAATTCCAGCTGAGCTCTTCCTCCCCTCCTTGGGAATATTTTCAGCCCACTAGTTTGACAGCAGCACAAACAAACATGCTGGAATGTGTCTCATCATTTCTAAGGACACCAAAACAGGAGTTGCCCAGAGACCCATCCAACCTGGCCTTGAACACTCCCAGGGATCCAGTGGCAGCCACAGCTTCCCTGGGCATCCTATGCCAGGGCCCCAGGTCCCCAGCACCCTGACAGGGCAGAATTCCCTGCAAATATCCCATCCATCCCTGCCCTGTCTCAGTGGGAAGCCATTTTCCCTCGTCCTGTCCTTGCAGGCCCCTGCCTTAAGTCGCTGTCCAGCTCTCTTGCAGGCCCTTCCTTCATGCATTGATAGGGGCTCTAAGATCACCCTGGAACCTTCTCCCACCTGGACAACCCCAACTCTTGCCTCCTTTGCCCTTGGCACAGGTGCTCCAGCCCTTGGAGCATCTTCCTGTTATCCCCGTGGCCTCCCCTAGGCCACTGGGGATCATCTCAGAAATGTCTGAGAGAAACCCCAGTTTGCCTCTGGGAAGTGCTGAGGCTGCACTGTAAATTAGGCTGAGGGGAAGGTGATGACCCTTGTTTGTGCCCATGGCCCCTCCCGTTGGACAAGGATGGAGGAGGAGATGTGGCTGTGCTCTGGGATGGCCAGGTGCCCCCCATTCCCTCTCAGGCCTGTCCCCACAGCAAGCACCAAAGCTGCTGGAGCTCTGGAACAGCAACTGTTAAACCCTTGCTATTCCCAGAGGGAAGCCTTCCCTGAGGCACAGCCCAGGCCCACCCAGGCCCCTGCAGGGCTTGGCACAAGGAGAGCAGTGGCTTTCTCACTCACCCGTCGCGTGTCCATCCGCTCCTTGGCACAAACAGTGTCCAAAGTGCAGTGTCCAAAGGCCCTTGGACTTCGCAGGGTTTAACTCTCAGTGCCTAAAGGGCCTTGGCATTTGCAAAGTCTAAACCTCAATGTCCAATGGAGTTTGACTTTGCAGGGTCCA